TCCAGTTTAAGGGTATTACACAGAAACACACCACAATAACATGAATCAAATATGTACTTTATTCATTTACAATAAATGTCATAATGTACATCATTCTGATTAGAGCTAAGGGCATACATTGTCTAACAATAACACTCACTACTTCTTTCAGTTTCAGGCCCATCTCTTCAGCCACTTGATTCATCAGTTGCTTCTCCATTCCCTCACCCTCATTCCTTTCCTTCCCTTTTCTCTGGCTAGCCTCCTGTAGATTCAAGTCTTCCTCAATGTATCAACTTCCGAATCCCTCCTAGTCAGTTCCTCAAAGGAATCACAGACTAAATCCCTGATTTTATCACCTTGTGCCTTCCATTCAGCCTCCATACTCCCTCCATTAAACCTTTCTTCCTTATCTCTAATCAGAACCTACTGGATTGTAGCAGACAATGGAAGGGTCTAGATGAAATTTGTTGCACTCACAAAAGGCTTATTAGTATTCTTAAAATCAAAGACTAACATACCTGGAGAGGATGGTTTTGTTGAAGGACTTCCAAAGTAAGTTTTTGTCTTGGGATTAGACCTACAAAAACCGGTTTCTAGAGGTTCGATGTTAGACTGAAGTTGAATGGGCAGCTGAACTTGAGAAATCGGTGCCCCCTTACTGGTTACACCCCTACTTTGCTCAGAAGAATAGTTAGAAACCAAAACCGCAACACCCCGCATCTGTTGAGAGCTCAAGATAGCTTTCGGATCCCCCAGGCAGTGTCCAATACCCAAACTGGTTGGCATCTCTTCTTCCCTACCCACCTCCAAGGCGGCTTCAAAGGTGATGATAACAGTCTCATCGTCATCTTTTTTTCATTTGTCTTCCTCCATGAAAAGCAGCTCTGTGTCGAAACTTTCATCCCCTCAAAACCCAAGGGATTTCTTTGGCCGAACACTCCCAATACTTGAAGTTTCAGATTCGTCAAACTCAAAATCTTCCTCACTAAATTCTAGAAAATCGTCCTCCTTTGCTACACCCCCTATTAAACCAGCTCGGGCCTAGCTCCAGCGCTGACACAGATCTCCACTGCAACGAGCTAAAACTCCCAGGACAACTCGCTGTGTCCCTTCGAATTGGAGAAGATGATGGACAAAAGTTAGAGTCCATCATCTATCCCTTTAGTTGGCCCACATGATCACTTAAGTGGTCACATGACTTAATTTTAAGTGAGCTGGTTGGGCCAGACCCAAACACTCCTTTAAGGGCCTATTGACAATCAGCCTTTGAAATGACTTGGCCCACCCCAACTGCCCTCTTTTGGGCTGCAGTAATCCCTTGTGTCCACGTGGGCCCACCCAACCTGCCCTCTTTAGGCCCATTAGAACAACTCGCCCTGTGGCTAAGACAAGTTCCCTCTCTACTTCTGCCCACGTGTCCCTCTACTCTTACCACCTTATCCCCTTGCTTTTTTAAAGAATGTTTCAGTCCTTTCTCTCCACCTTGACTAGAACCACTCTTATTTGGTGAAACCTATCGAATAGCCTTCTCCCTACTCCCTCTTTCTGTCAGAACCTGAGCATAAGACCTATAGCTCACCACCTTTTCCTCTTCTCCTAATGGCTCTTTCCCCTTGGTTGCTATTAACTTTCGTTTTGAGTTATCATTTCCCAAGAATACCATTTTTGTGTAAGTGTCAGCCATATTTGAATACATCAATCCCTTACTTCCACAAGGCAACTTCAATGGCTGTAACCAGCCAGGCTACATAGAACACTCCATCAACCATCAGCTTTACTGAACGAGGGATATCTTCCAGATGCACATTAGTCAAGCAAATTGCAGCTGAATGGAGGTCTTCCACAAAGGAACCTTCCAGTCTTGCCTTACACAGAGTAGCTATAGAATCAAACACCTCTGAGGTCCAGCTGAATCGGATATCTTCCAGATGCACATTTGTCCCTTGCATGCAGATCCTTAGAGTTTGAATGAGGGGTCCATTTTGTGATAGATATAGAAGCTGAGTGCAATTTACAACACAAAGCATATAGTTGTAACTCCTCTCCAACTACCTCAAGCAAGGCCTTACAAGACTCAAAGGGGGTTAAGATGATAGTACAGTTCAAGTTTAACTTCTTTAATAACTCTTCTGCAACTGTCCTCCAGTTTTCCGGAGGTACTGTAGAAGTTACTATAAACTTTTTTGTCCCACTCATTCTTGAGCTCATTGCATACTATTCTGCAATCTTTTGCTGCTTTACCCACAATTTGTACACTTGCAACCTCTTTCTAGAACTCTTGTTTCCTAGCTCCACCAACTCCATTCACTACATGTAACTATTCTTCCTTCTCAGAGCTGCTACCTTCCCCAAATCCCTCTCGGGCAAAGAAATCCTTCAAAACAGTTGACACTTCTTTCCATCCAATCCCCAACTTTCCTTCAAGGAAACAAACCATTTGTTTTTTTCCTTCCCCAAAAAACTCCAACAAAGCCACAAACCTTCCTCTAGAGTTCTTCCTCCTCTCTGCTACAAATCTCCTACCATTAACCTCATTTCATTCTTTGCACTCTAACTTTCCACTCACCTGAACTGCTTTCTCCAAGAATGTCCGAAACCAAACTACGGCTTCTTTCCCAACCAGTAATACCATAGCCTTGTTTAGTTCTCTGATTTTCAGAGCTTTCTTCCCTTTCACCCTAAAGCTTTCAAAAAGAAACTGCTTAGCCTCAACCTTCAAGGTCCTTCTCCAGCTTGTTGCCATGATAAAATCTCCTTCCTCCTTCATCCTCCCCTAGCCATCCTATCTCTCCTCTTGACAAAATCTCCTTTCAAAAAGTTTTGATTGTTGACTTTTTTGGGGGCTCCTAATGGTGTTCATATGCAAGAAAAGATAAAACTAATGAAAAGACTTTATTATGCAAATAAAGGAAGAGAAAGAGGGAGGGAGAGAGAGAGAGAGAGACCATAAAAACACTTGCTTCTGCAAGTAACTTGATACTTCCAAAATGTTCATAAAAAATTATATGCATTTAGGTTTTATTACATCATCCTTTTGCCAACCATCAAATGACAGCCCATATTTCTGTTTTATTTGGGGGGGACATATTTTTAGCCTAGACCTTTGAAATTTAAACATGGTTGCAATCATACGATTTTCGTTCACAGCATTCACACTGCTGAGACTTAATCAAATTCCCAATCTGCAGTAAAAGTCATGACAATATAAAATTAACACTCATGCAACAAATGCATAAAAGTGAACTAGAACAATCCACAAATTGTTTCATTCTTACCAAAAATCCCATCTTTATCTCCCTTATTGATGGCACCAGACTGCTCCAAACTTACTGAAAAGCACTTAAAGACTCTAGGCAATGAATGTGATTTAGATAAACTACGGACACCCACACCTCGGATAGGCCATTGTATGGAATTCCACCTCTGAGCAGTGGCAAAAGACACCGATGAATAATTCCCAGCAACGCAAGAAAGGTTCACAAGAAATGGCTTTATAGTTGTTCTTTTGTTAAGAAAATCCAGAGAAGCTCCAGCATTGTAAGCAATGGAAGCCATACCTGAATCCAACATTTTTAAAAGGTTAAATATGGAAAATATGCATATGCCTCAAGGCGATTTGAGGCAGAAGCCTTGAAAAAAAACAAAGTGTATATAATCCATAAACAATAAAGACAAAAAAGCATACCTATGATAGAAACCAGAACTATAACTGATCAAGGAAAAACAGAAACCAGAACTTTAAGAAGCAAAAAAGACTGCTTACACATAGTTTAAGAGAATTTCAAGTATTGTAAATCGTTTTTCCATCTCGCATAGAGTAGAATCCTTTTCTCTTTTTAATTGATTTACTTGAGAAGTGCCAGACTAAGGTTAAGTCAGATCAAGGATCTAAATATCAATAAAGACTGTTACACCCCATCCAACGTATTGGTCTGTATCGATAGGCGCTCTATAATTTTTTTCTTCAAACCTGTTTAGGGGGGTCAGTATAAGGTCTGTCTAACCCCTGAAACAGGTCAAACCCCGAAATAGTCCCTACAATAGCATATCGATGGTGTAAGCAAGGTTTAAAATGTTGATGTCAGTGGAAATGTCGGTCATCCAAATATAAGAAACATGTCGGAAATGTCAGAAATATCATATGGAAATATTGTAAAAATTATGGACATGGTGGAAACATTTTAAAATATGCAAAATATAGAAAGGTATTTTATGAAATGACAAAAGAAGCATAAGCACACCTTTTTAAATTATTATCATGTTGCAAATCATTAAACAGAGCTAAGAAACTAAGGTTATAAACAAAAGACTACATTCTGAAGTTGCCCTGTAAATTTAAGATTCAGAGCTTCATGATAAAATGAGTTAAAGCAAAATTTTAACTCATAGAAAATGTAAATAATTGTAATAGATCAACCAAATAATTTATTACACAAACAAAAAACTAATACTTAACTTCATGTTTGAGATGAATATTGAGCTAGCTAAAAGTGGTAATCATGTAAGTTAAGCGGACAATAAAATTTTTACTTAACATATTTAGAATATTGTACCAACTTATGTTATACTACTATCTCTTGGATTCCACATAGCACTGGTAGTGTTCGCTAGGAAATATGTAGATTCCCGTAAAATTTCATGTCGCTACCTATGGAAGTGGAAATGGAAATATGTTGTGGAAACTATTTGTTGTACTCCACATAGTGCTGGTAGTCAAGGTTCAAAATATCGATACGCCCGAATCGATACTATTTTTTTTTAAGTTTTTTTTTTTCTGAAACCTGTTCAGGGGGGCTGGTTTAGGTCTCCTCCATCCCCTGAACCGGTCAAACCCCCGATACACCCACTATAGGGGCGTAACTTCATGTTTGAGATGAATATTGAGCTAGCTAAAAGTGGTAACCATGTAAGTTAAGCGGACAATAAAATTTTTACTTAACATATTTAGAATATTGTACCAACTTATGTTATACTACTATCTCTTGGACTCCACATAGCACTGGTAGTGTTCGCTGGGAAATATGTAGATTCCCGTAAAATTTCATGTCACCACCTATGGAAGTGGAAATGGAAATATGTTGTGGAAACTATTTGTTGTACTCCACATAGTGCTAGTAGTCAAGGTTCAAAATATCGATACGCCCGAATCGATACTATTTTTTTTAAGTTTTTTTTTTTTCTGAAACCGGTTCAGGGGGGCCGGTTAAGGTCTCCTCCATCCCCTGAACCGGTCAAACCCCCGATACACCCACTATAGGGGCGTATCGGTAGGGTCCCGAAACAATACGTATCGGCCGATACGTGTCGATACTTTGAACCTTGCTGGTAGTGTTGGGGAAATGTCAATTTTGGTAAAATTTCCTATAGCTACCCATGGAAATGGAAATATGTCATGGAAATAATAGGGAAATTAGGGACATTTTAAACCCAAGGTGTGAGTGTAGGTGGGAAGACCATTGGCATGAAGGGGCAATTGTTTCAACTACCTAATATGCAAATTCACTGAAAAAATGAGAGTTATTCAAAACCTTAAAGATGCTCTTACATTGACTTTATTTGATAATAAAAGAAATTGAAACTATGAACATTTCCTAATTTATGCCATATGTACAAAAACAGTGAAGAATTCATTGTGATCATTGCCAGAACACCCAAAGCACCAGCTACACTAATTTATCCTAGCAATAACGTGCAAAATAGGAAAAAACCAATATTCTAACCTATTCCAAGGATCAAAATGAAGATATGCTGCACTAGCCCTTCTAATTGTTTTACCGAAATGCTGAGTAAAAGTAAATAGAGTAAGGTCATCCTAATGAGAATTATTCCTACCAATCCGCTTCTGATGTCTTATTCCCCATGTCAAATGAAACGCCCATTATTAATCAAGCCCATAATTCCGTTGCTTTTCAATTTGAACGAACAATCTAATAACAACCAGCATTAGTCTATTCTAACTTACATTCAAGATAGTGAAATAGTCCAATCTACCTAACACAAATGCAAACAAATGGCTAAATAATAAGTATTTCCATCAATATTTTACCATAAAACAAATTAAAACTCTAAAAGGCGAATGAAACTAAAAATATAAATCAAACCTGAAACCATCGGCGGTTGTTCAACTAGATTGAATCAAGGACGAAGTAGAGATGTGGGATGATGATATATCGCCTTCAAGATGGGATACAAGACTGAGATTGCTGCTGCAATTCGATCAGGAGAACTGGGTTCGATCAAGGTTGAACGTGAGATGCAAGCTGAAGGAGGTAGCTGTTTGCAGGTCGTGTAGGTATTCAGCGACGATATTGTTGTCGTCGACGGTGAGATGGGTTGGGCGATAGTGAAGAAAAATTAAAAAGAAGGAAGAAAAGCTGGAAGTGGTGACTCGAACGGTGGTTGAAATGGTGTTGGCGGTGGGGTCACAGTAGTTGAGTCAATGGCACAGTGAGAGACGGAGACGAAGGATAGAGTGGGAGTAGAGAAGAACGGGATGAAGAAAAAAGAGAGAGAGAGAGAGAGAGAGAGAGAGGAAGATGGGTGGTGAGAGCGGCGGTCGGGGTTCGCGGAGACGAGAGAATGAGAAGAAAGTAGAGGAAGAAGAAAAAGAAATCGGTAAATTACAGATAGATACCCTATATTTTGAGATAGTTACAGATAGGTACCTAAATTTTCAATTGTAACACTTGAATACTCTAAACTTTAAAAAATAGACACTTAGGTTCATCGGTTAGGTAAACATTACATATACCAAAAATACCCTTCTTGTATATTTTTTAGATCATTCTTAGGTAACTAAGTATCTCCCATGATGACGTTCTCAGATGGACAACAAATTATATATTCAAATTTTTAGGCATTCCCTAGTGATGATTTTATTCCATATAATGATCTTAAAAATACATAAGGGTATTTTTTGACATTATGTAATGTTTAAATAACAGAATACTAATATATGGAGCCAAGTGTTTAACTAACTGACACTGATGTACTATCAAAGAAGTCTTAACTGCTAGGGTTAGACCCAAAGCACTTGTAGTGTGTTTGGTTGAAACACTAAACTCGGACCATTTTTTCAGTTATGCCCTGGACTTTGGAGATTGATGAGCAAAATTGGAAAATTACACATAATCCCTAGATTTGAATATGGTACATCACTAGGTGATGGGACCCATCAGATTAGGAAATAGATTTGGAGTCGCCACCCATCAAATTAGGAAATTGAGGTGATGGGACCTCCGAGAATGGTATCAAAATTGTTTTGATTCAACAGTGACTCCAGTAGCCCGAGGCACTGACTAAATCGGTCCAGATAAGACTCGAATGGAAGAGGGAAGGGGTTAGGCACCCCTCTCTCGGGTCCAAAGGTGGGGTCCACATGGTGTCTCAAATAAGCACAATCATAAATATGCAACCATGTAATTAAACTAAAGACATAAGTAATAGAGAGAAGCAAAACAAGCCAAGAACAAATCAACACAAGGAAACAAACCCGGCCTACAATTTTATATTTTTTTACTTTTATATTTTCATGTTTATTTTGCCATCTTCTTATGGAGCCCTACTTATTTTATTTGTTTTATGAGATTTCTTTATTTTTTATCCCTCCCATTTTTTATTTTTTCACTTATTTTTATATTTTCTTTATTTCAATTTTTATTGTTGTTCCCCTTTTCAACAACTTATTCTCCCCCCTTTGTTAACTAAATAGCCAAACCTATTGAACTAAACCCTCTACCCCGCCTTTGCACAATTTTGTTGTAGCATTATTTATTCTTTTTATTTTTTTATTATATGTTTTTTATACTCTTTTGATTGAATTAATCTACTTCTCTCGGCCAATCATTCTTACTGTTTTGGTTCTCTTACCCTGTGAGAAACCTTGGTTCTGTTACCAATTCCCTATCATTATTTTCTATTTTTCTTCAGCTCCCTACCCTTCTTTTATTTTTTATATTTTTCTTTTTTAATTATCAAACAATGAGAACCCCACTTCTTACCAAATGGACAGTCCCCCTAACCGATAAACCCGAAATCCCTCTCTCAGTACCGTGAAGCCAAAACTCAAAAAAACTCAACAAATAATGCAATTCTAACAAATCCAATCAGCCAGGATGAAGAACAAGACAATATGCTCAGTTCCAAGAAAAAGCCGGCAAAACCCATCAAATCTCACCTTCAAATCTACTCCAAACAAAATGAACATAACAATCTATTGAAACAACTGAGAAAGAGATGCAACATTATGCGTGATTTAGCCAATAAAATTATCACTAGCAATGTTTTCAGAAAGAAAATCAAAACATGGGAGAAGATTTATCTGAATCGAATTTAGCCTCATATTAGGCACTGCAATGGAGGATTTGAGCAATTTTTCTCACCTAACCTCCCTGATAACTAAAGCTTGTAGTGGATATTGGTCTCGCCTTGAAATGGATGTTGGCCTGAACACGTTCAAACAATGGCGATGCTCAAGATGTACACAGGATTCGATAGTACGAGATAATGTTTTAGATGATCCGTGCTCAAGCTTGCCGCTGTCGGTTGGGATTTTGGCTCCAATAAGAACGAAGCAATAGAGACTTTGACCTTGGTTTATTGATCTCTAAGTAATAGAGCCGATAGGAAAATAGGGACGAGAAGATTAAAGTGAAAAGACTATCTTCTCCCAAGCACGAGCTCTGCCCGATAGATGGAGCCACGAATGATGAGGTTGAGAGATCAGAAATGATAGGGAAATGAGGGAAAAGGTCGAGGGGGAAGAGGGAGAAGAGAAAACGATGTGAGAGAAGAGTGGGATAGAGGGAATAAGAAAGAAGCTAGGAGGGGTCTCCGCTGCTCTGCTTCAGTTTGGATTCGAGAGGAAGGGGACGATGAACAGTGGATTTTCGGATGTTCTGAGGAAGAAGAAGAAGAAGAAGAAGAAGAAGTAGAAGAAGAAGAAGGAGGAGGAGGAGAATGAGGGAAAAGAGAGAAAGAAAGACTGGCCGGGAGAAGGGAGCACCGCTGGTTCACCGCCGCTCCTCTGGTTTTTGTTCGAATGGGGGAGACAGATGAACAGTCGATTCTAGATAAAGCCCAATGAGATACTTAGGTTATAAGTTTAAATTTATATGGGGCTAGTGGCAATTTCATAATTTTGGGGAAGTTTAGGGATGATTTTGTAATTTTGAAAATTCATCTCAAAATCACTCCAAAGAGGATTATGAGCAAGGAGTTATGGTATGTCAAGAGTCTAAAGGTGATCTTATCCCTTCGGATGTGTCAAAATCAAGGGAATTTGGGTTATGAATGTTTAGGCAAATGAAAGGTGTCATAATGAAATCTCAGCCTGATAAATCGGTGAATGGAGGAATCTTGAGTTCAAATTTCATGGGTAGGTGTTTTGGGAAGTCCTGGGTCTGATGGTTATGTTTGATTTGAGGGTCAAAGCGTAGATGGGGGTTGATCGGGGCCATCGGATAGGTATTGGGCAGGTTTAATGATGGATCTGAGAGCTTTTGGGCTAAAAGTTAGGATTTTTGGGGTAAGTTGGGGTAAGTTGTTTCAAAAGGATCAAATAGGTCTGATCGGGAATTTGGGGTAAGTTGGGGTTCATGCGGTGGACCGAACAAAAATTGGGTGCTGACAGCTGCCTCTCTTTATTGTGAGGTAGAAGATTACAAAACAACAAAGACAAAAAGAAGCATACAGAGATTTTTGCGAAGGACGGGCTTGGAAGAGGGGCAAGATGAGGAAGGAAGATTAAAGCAAATGAAAAGGTGAAGAAGAGGAGTTCCCGTGCAACATCATTTCATCATGTTCAATCCAGTTTTATTGTTGCGCAATTGCCTAATTCTCGAGGAATGGTGTGCCCTTAGGAAGAAAGGCTCGGTGCATGTCAAACACATCAAAAACTAACACGATAAACTGTTGTAAAAATCAGGAAATACATTTTCTATCTAAAAAGTAATCAAAATCGTTTTACGACATCATAAAGTTGTGATGCAAAATGGAAAATCCACTGTATGTCAGGAAATCAGCAAAAGGCCACGATGTGAGGTTTAAATATCTATAATATGGAAAAAAGCACGTTAAGCTATGATGCAAGACAGAAAATCCACTATATGCCAGGAAATTGGCAAAAAGTCATGATATGCCATGATGCAATGTTCAAACAATCATAATATGGAAAAACACGTTAAGCCATGATAGAAGATGAAAAATTTATTATATGTCGGGAAATCAGTAAAAAGTCATTATATGCCATGATGCAATATTCAAACAGCCAAACTTTAGAAAAGCACGTTAAGTCATGACGCAAGACTGAAAAATCCACTGCATGCCAGGAAATCAGAAAAGAGTCATGATATGCCATGATGCAATGTTCAAACAATCAAACTATGGAAAAGCACGTTAAGTTGTGACACAAGACTAAGAATCCACTATATGCTGGGAAATCAACAAAAAGTCATGATATTCAAGATTTTTAGCATGTTAAGCCATGGTGCAAATTGAACAATCTACTGTAAGCCGAGAAATCACAAAAGTTATAAGATTCAAGATTTTTAGTATGTTAAGTCGTGAGGCAAATTGGATAATCCACTATAAGCCAGGAAATCGCAAAACTTTTGATATTCAAGATTTTTAGCATGTTAAGCTGTGGTGCAAATTGAATAATCTACTGTAAGTTGGGAAATCGCAAAACTTATAGTATTCAAAATTTTTATCATGTTAAGCCGTGATGCGAATTGGACAATCCACTATAAGCTGAGAAATGGCAAAACTTATGATATTCAAGATTTTTAGCACATTAAGCCATGATTCAAATTGGACAATCCACTGTAAACTGGGAAACCACAAAAGTTAAAATATTCAAGAATTTTAGTATGTTAAGTCGTAATACAAATTAGACAATCCAGTGTAAACTGAGAAACCGCAAAACTTATAATATTCAAGATTTTTAGTACATTAAACCGTGATGCAAATTGGACAATCCACTGTAAGTCGAGAAATCGCAAAACTTATGATATTCAAGATTTTTAGCACGTTAAGCCATGAGGCAAATTGGGCAATCCACTGTAAGCTGGGAAATCACATACTTATGATATTCAAGATTTTTAGCACATTAAGCCGTGATGCAAATTGGATAATCCACTATAAGTCGGGAAATAGCAAAACTTATGATATTCAAGATTTTTAGCACATTAGTCTGTGATGCAAATTAAACAATCCACTGAAAGTTGAGAAATCGCAAAACTTATGATATTCATAATGCAAAATTTTAAACTACTAAAAAGCACGATATGCCACAACACAAATAGAAATTCACCTTATGCTAGGAAACAAACAAAAACTCAAAATATGCCATTATGCAACTAGGTAATCCACTGTATGCTAGGAAACAAGCAAAACTCATGTTATGCCATAATGCAATTTTTATCAATTGTAGACTATCCCAATCTTAGAAATAAAGGTAAAAGTCGCCATCTCCAACTAGGAAAGCGATGATCACAATATTTAAACCTCAAGGATATAAGCTAGTTATGCAATGATTGCTAATCAAAGGTTCTCATCAAGAAATACCCTCAAAAGAGGGGTTTGCTCTAATTTGGATAAGTAAAAGGAGATGTATCACAAAGAGATCAGCTGTTCAATTTAAGGTGGTGAAGCCAAAATGTACTCATGGCGATTTTTGGTGCGCCCGAGATGTGTCATCAAACACCCATGGCACCAGTTTAGAGATTTGTAAAATTTTCCAATCCTTACGTATTAAACAACGTAGTACGTGGTGAGGAAAGGGTCGAACCCACAGGGAAGCAAGAATAAAAATTATTATTTTCGTTCTAGACAAATAAAAGGAAAATAGATATGGAATTTGTAGAAAATAAGAATATAAAATGTATTAATATTGAAATTAAATGTCTTGAATTCAACAAGGCAATAATTAAAATTCAAAAATTAAAGAACACTACTAAATCAACAAAAAAAATAAATAAAAATGATCCAAAATTCGGATCCAGTGGTGGTAGCTGTCCAGGAAGACGAAATACATGCTTTCTCCCTCTGTTCAGCCCTCGAACCCCTCGAGACACCTTAGCCTTGAACTAGACGAATTCAGATCTGCAAAACACACAAACAAACATAAATTAAGTCTAAAAGATTGTCAGAATAAAAAATAACATAAAAGAAAATAAAGAAAATGAAAGGGATGGCTGATCAAATCCAGTGGTGGTAGTTGCATATTGGTTGGACTGCTTGTAGGAACCCCTCCTGACAAGATCTGGGCGTCCTTCCTTTCTACAATCCTTGAATTCATCAAGAAACCTTAGCCTTGTGAACTAGGTGAATTGACCAACCCCTTCTCCAGGGCCCTTGGAGTCCTTTTTATAGAGAAGGGTGAACAAAACTGGGATCAGAGAGAAAGAGAGGGGTGGCTAGTGGATTTATGCAGAAAAATGGGCCTCATTTTTCTTGGGGTCCTTTTAATCAAGATTATGCTCTTGCTCTCATTTTTCTTCAATTAAACACTCTTGCAATCATAAATGAAACAAAGTGCTCTTCATACCTTTAAATATTTTGGGTACTGCAATCAAGTGATCAAGGAGGACTTTATTACAGGATGAAATGCAAATGGGTAAGGTTAAAATAAAAACTGAGAACAGATGTCCCTATGGAACGATACCTTATCGATTTGATCATCACATTAGCCCTAGTTTCTTTTTTCTTTCTTGCTCTTCTCTTCATTCTTTGTAGCAATTGGTTGCCTAGTTTTTCTTTGGTGCTTTGTTTTCTTTCTTTTTCTTCTTCTTCTTCTTCTTCTTCTTCTTCTTCTTCTTTTTAATTATGCACACTTGCCCCAAATTTTCTATTTATTTCTTCTTCTCTTCTTATTTTGTCTTTCCCAAAATGTTGAAATCCACATGCACAATTAAGCATATGACATCCGCTTCCTAGGAGGGTTTATTTGAAGGAATTGTTCCTACAAAGTCTCAAAAGGAATAACTAGTGAAATGAATAATAAAAAGGGTTTGACGAAAAGGGATAAAGCAATCGGCCAAAAGAGGGCCTCCCACATCATTTCTCCATCAAATGCACAACCAATAGGAAACAACTACATGTCGAGCACAATTTAAGTTCCGTTGACTCAGGGATAGTTATGTCATTTGACATCTTTAAGAATTGAATGTTCTGAGATTATTCGAATGAGACTTATTCTTTTTCCCTTCTTTTTTCTTCTTTCTTCCTTCTTTTTTTTTTTTAAATGTGTTTTGCCCTTAGGAAAGAAGCATCTAGGGGATTTGACGGGTTTAACAAAGAAGAAGGTCTAATGAAATAGCTCAACAGGCTAACTAATGGTATTGATAGTGGTAAAGGGGTTTGAGGTAAACAAAAATGACCAATAATGACCTCCAGTCCTTTCTCTGATGAATTAGCAAAGCACTAGGTAAATATGATGCCTGCATTCTATGCTGGCTCAAGAAACAGATCAAAAGGAGTGCATACCCTATCGCAATGACTTTAACCTTATGAATGCCCCAATTTGAGCTGCCAATGATGGATTTATTTATCAATATGGTTGGGAATGGATATTGCTGTTTTGATTTATAGGATTTCCCCATTTTCTTTAGACATTCCTATCGATGGACCCTTGATTAACAATCATTATTTCACAAATCTATGCCGTTGAGGCTTATTTTAATTTAATGATCAAAGAAAAATGATTTTTTTAATCCTCTCAAAGGAAGTGGCAACTCTGTCTCCTTCCAAGTTTGGGTTGTCTCCTTTCTTATTAAAAGCTTATTACTTTATTATCAAAATGACAAAAAAGAACATCTAACCAACACTCAAAGCAACAAACCAAGGAATTTGAACTTATTATGCAAATTATGGAATGAGATGATGAGAAAAAATGAATCGAGACTTTTATTAGGTAAAAATTAATTGATTCATTTTCATTATTATAGATCAATGACAACATGTCTAGAACCTTTGGGTTAACTTTATCTTATTTTTGTTTCTTTAACATTTTATCACCTCTCTTTGGTGCTTTAGCCTTCGAATAATGGATGAA